CCGACTAGTGACCACAGAGCTGGGGGTAGGAGTGGCGCTGGACGCGGCGCAGGCAGGATCGCGGGGGCACCGAGATCGGAGGTACTGGCAAAACGGCATCTTAGAAGGTCGGCTGAGGCTGGAGCTGTCGAAGCTGGAGAGGCCGGTGGCAAGCTTCGTGCGGGACATACTCGAGCCGAACCAGGAAGAAGCACCATTGGTGTACCCTGATCACTCCACGCATTACCCGTGTAACCGACCCGGGGAGCCGAGGCAAGCGTGGCCAACCCTGGTCACGCACTACGGCTCGTGCGCATTCCAGATGAGGGAGGGAGTGCCAGGGCCTGGGATGGTCAAGAATCTGAGAACAAGGGAATGGGAGGAGCCGGCGGCGTTGGAGCGAGAACTAGCTATGGGGTTCGTACCAGGGGCTACTGCAGCGCAAGGAATTTGGGAATGGGAGCGCAAGCGGGCGCTGGGGCAGGGAATGAACGTGCAAGCCATGGAGTGGCTGCTGCACACGGTGGAAGTCCAGCTGCTGCTATGGGACATGGATACCAGGGTGGAGGAGAAAGAGTGGTGGGCCGAGGGAAGCGGAGAAAACAGCGAGACTCAGAACTGGCTCAACACCGAGAAGCGGAAGCTGGAGAACCTGCTGAACAGCGAAGAGGAGATCAGGAAGAGCGGGTGGCCCCCGGGAGAGGAGAGAAACCTGGCGGCACGAAGCCGCAGCGCGAAAAGAGGCTGTGTGCAGACCTTCATGGCGCTGGAGCCGATCACGCGGGAAAGCCATATAGAACGAACAGCCGCGGCCGCAGGGGAGGACCAGGAGGCATGGGCGGCGGGCCCCGCGCTCTCAAAGGAAGAAGCGGCCGAGATGAAGGAAATGCTGAAGCGATACCGAAATGCCTTCGCCTATTCGCTGAAGGAGCTGGGCCAATGCAAAATCGGGGAAATGAAGATTGAGATGACGTTGGAGACACCGACCTTCCAGCGGAAAAGGCGGACGACCAGAGCGGATGAGGAGGTGTGCAAGGAGAAATCCCAGGAACTCTTCGAGGCAGGCCTGATCCAACGCTCCACGTCCGAGTACGCAGCAGCGACAGTGGTTGCTGCCAGGAAAGATGCGACAAGGGAGGTTCTCTCAAGGCGCATGTGCGGGGATTAGCGGGATCTAAATAAGATAACAAAGGTGAACCATTACCCCATGCCGACGCCAGAGGATATATTCGACAAGTTGGTGGGGCCAACGGTGTTCAGCATGCTGGATTTGAGGCAGGGCTTCAACCAGATCCAGATCAGAGAGGAGGATCGCGCGAAAACAGCATTCCACGGCGTGGATGAGTTATGGGAGTGGAAGGGGATGCCATTCGGCATGCGCAACTCGTCGGCGGTATTTCAGCAGGTGATGGACACAATCCTGAGAGGCATTGAATGCACGGTGTGCTACATCGACGATGTGATTATCTTCAGCAAAGATAGTGCGTCACATGTAGCGGACGTGGAGAGGGTGCTGCAGGCGATCCAGGAAGCAGGCCTCACCTACCACCCAAAGAAGTGCAAATTCGGAGAGAGCGCTGTGAAATATCTGGGGTTTGAAGTCTCGGACGGAACCCTGTAGATTCAAGAAGCCAAGGTCGCGGTGCTGGACAAGGTGGCAGCGCCCACGGACAGGAGCAGGCTCAGGGCCATACTGTGCTTCCTCATCTATTACAGGAAGTTTGTGCCGAACTTCAGGAAGAGGGTTAGCCCGCTGAACCAGCTCCTGAGGGAGAGCAACGCGTGGAAATGGGGAGAACAAGAGGAGAGGGTGATGAAAGACCTGCTTGGAGCGGTAAAGACGGGGCCCGTCCTGGTACTGCCCAGGAGGGACGAGCCCTTCGTGCTCTACACAGACTGGAGCAGCCTGGGCATGGGGGCAGTACTGTGCCAAGAGACAGCCGATGGAGAGAGGGTGGTAGCATTCGCCAGCAGGAGCTGCAGCCCTACGGAGGCTAACTACAGCTCTTATGAAGGCGAAGGACTGGCCGCAGTGTGGGCAGTGGAGCATTTCAGGGTGTACCTGCAAGGAAGCCCATTCACACTGATGACGGATCACTAGCCGCTGACCTGGCTGATGACCAACCAGACCTTGACGGAGCGGAATGCGAGATGGGCAATTGCGATTGCAGGAGTACGAGTTCAAGATACGGCACCGCCTGGGAAAAACGCTGCAGCATGTGGACGGCCTATCAAGGAATCCGCCGCAGCAGGAGGGTAATTCACCGGCAGCCTGCCTTGTGGCGCTAGCCAGCAGCATGAGGGAGGTGGAGGGTGTTAAGCACCAAGGCAAGGGATCCGAAGATGTGTGGGAAGATCCACTGGTGCTGAGATGGGTGAAAGGAGAGACCGAAGCAGAGGAAGATGTGGGCGAGCGAGCGCGAGCTCTGGGGAGGCACTACAGGTGGTACCAGAACCAAGTGCAGGTGGATACCAAAGATGGGTGGAAACTGGTGCCACCGCCGGGGGAAAGGAAGGCACTCATCGAGCAGGTGCACAGCCAGCTGGGACACTACGGCCACGTGAGAACTACACAGCTGCTGACGATGGGGTGGTGGTTGGCAGGATTGCAGAGAGACGTGAAGGAAGTCGTGGCGGACTGTGAGCGATGCAGGAGGAACAAGGCAAATCTGGAAAGAGAGCAGCAAGAGCTGCAGTCCCTGCCGATTCGTGGCCAGGGGTACCGGTGGTCACTGGACCTTGCAGGAGAACTGCCACTGAGTTGTAAGAACAAGCGCTATGTGCTGGTCATGATCGAGCACGTATCCAAGTGGGTGGAGGTTCGGGCGCTCAGCAGCAAGAGCGCTGAATTGATCGCAGAGGCTTTCATAGACCAAATGCTGACACCGTTTGGGGCTTGCGGGGAAGTGCTGACCGACCAGGGCACGGAGTTCAGAGGAGCCTTCGATCGGCTGCTGAAGAGCGTGGGGATTGTGCACAGGTGCACGTCTAGGTACCACCCGCAGGCGGATGGACTGACGGAGCGCATGGTGCAGACCCTCAAGAGAGGCTTGCGTGCTTACGGGGAAGAGCAAAAGCGAGATTGGGACCAGGAGCTCCACTAGGTGGCAGCAGGGTACCGGTTCAGTAAGCAAGCAGTGCTCAGAGACTACTCGCCGTACTACCTGCTGTACGGCAAGGAGCCCATGCTACCGGTGGGGGCGCCCAAGGTGCTGACAGAGATGGTCACAGCGGGGTCGCCCGAGAAGTGGGCGGCGCTTGCAGATTGCAGGGCGCAGTACTTGAAGAAAATCATGCCGACAGCTCTGGAGAATCTGCACACGGCGCAGCTAAGGGATGCGAAGCGGTACCAGCAGAGGCTGCTGCAGACCGGGAAAGGGAAGACTAACGTGATGGAGACTGGAACCGAGGTGTACGTCAGGAAAGCGAAGAAAGATGGTTTTGACGTGGGGCTGTCCACAGATCGCTGGATAGTGAGGGAGGTGAAGGCATCAGGAGTGCTGGTGTTGGAATCCGAGGAGGGTAAGCGACGAGATGATCATGTGACTAACATGGCACGTGCAGTCGGAAGCAAGATGAAAGGGGTTCCTAAGGACCAGCAGCAGGAGCAGAGCAGGTCACGGAAGGGGGCAAGTGGGTAGTCCGCCTGGAGGAGGCAAGGGCTGGGGGAAAGGCAGGGAAGAGGAGGGATAAGGGAAAGATCGAGAGGGAGAAGGAGGCAATGAGGAGTCACGCAAAGGTACAGAGATGCAGGAGAGACAGTGAGAGTGGGTGGCAGCGGGGGAAGGCTATGGCATCCGACAGCTGTCACACGAAACAGGACCGGATATGCTACTGTTACATGTGACGGACGTGTACTCTGAATTCGGTGACGAAGCAGTGTACAGCGAGCCTCGGCGGGGAAGCCAGGGTGACAGCTGGAACTGGACAGCAGGGGTGCAAGTGAGGAAGAATGCAGACGTCGCGCATCTACAGTGATGGCAGCCAGGATGAGGGTTTCACGTGGTGCAGTCGGGAGGACTGCTGGATGTCAGCCGAGGAATTGGCACGAGGAAGGGACGGCAGCGATCCCTCCTGTACATATGTGGGCTGATTGAATGGTTCCGATTGTGTGCATGTCGGATGTGCGTGCGCTTGAATGTGTTTTTTGCTGGCGTGTGTGCAGGTTCTGTCTTGTCTCGCGCCAAGAGCAAGGAGTCAGTAGCTAGCTTGGAATCTTGCTGTACATAGAGAGCTAGCCTACGTAGAATCCTTGCTTGTTCGTTTGTTTTCTCAGTGAACTGGAATGGTGTGCTTGCTATCGACCTAGCAATCCCAGCCAGGAGTAGAGAAGACGGTCGCTAGGACAAGGGGGTATTTCGGTAGGTAGTCCACCTAGAGGAGGCAAGGGCAATGGGGGAAAGGCAGGGAAGAGGAGGGATAAGGGAAGGATCGAGAGGGAAAAGGAGGCAATGAGGAGTCACGCAAAGGTACAGAGATACAGGAGAGACAGTGAGAGTGGGTGGCAGCGGGGGAAGCCTATGGCATCCGACAGCTCCTGCAGACGATGCTGACGCCGACACTCGCGACCTGTGGCTTACTTGCGACACTTCCGCTCGCCTAGCTATTCGCAACCACCTACCGTTAGCCGAATGCGCGCACTTTAGCCAGTAGAAAACCGCTAAGGCCCTGTTCGATGCAGTTGTCGCTCGTTACAGCTCGCCTGCCACTGCTGCGCTGGGCTGTCTCATCCTGCCCTACCTCTTTCCTGACCTATCCGCCTTTCCCACTGTCGCTGATCTTATCACCCACCTTCTCACCAGCGACGCTCGTGTGCGTGCTGCGAGCCCCGCCGAGTTTCTTGCCAAGAACCCCCCCCCCTATTCACTACACCCTCTACCTCCTAGTCACTCGCCTCCCTGACTCTCTTTGCGCTGTCAGGGACCCCTTTCTCACCATGGACCCCACAGAGCTCACTATCGACCTCCTCAAGAAGCACCTTACAGCGGCTGAGGCTAGCATTAACGCTGTAGGCGATTCTTATGGCACTCCTCACACCCCTTTCTTCGAGAGGTGTTCCCCCACTCCCCTCCTCCCCTCAGTCGCCACTGCTGTTTCTGTCGACTTTCTTGGTGCTGAAAAGGTTGGGGCTGCGTCTGCTCCTAGTGGGAGGAGCCGCAGCAGCTAGGGCAAGGGAGGCAAGGGTGGTGGGGGTGGCGGGGGTGGAGGCGGTGGTGGAGGCTGTGGTGGCGGAGGAGGAGGCGGTGGGAGTGGCGGGGGTGGGGGTGGGGGTACTGGTGCCGGGGTCAGTGGTGGCGGCGGCAGTGGGAGTGGCAGTAGCGGGGGTGGCGGCAGTGGGAGTGGCAGCGGCGCCGGTGGCAGCGGTCGTAGTGGTGCGGCCCAGCACGGCGGTCCTGGAGCAGCAGCGCCAGTGCGCGCCCCGTACGCCACATGAGCTTCCTGAGTGGTACGCGTAGCATTAGTCGTCTGGGGGTGGTGGTACCTGCCCGTATGTCATTCGTACGGGTGAGCGTGCTAGTCAGACGTGCGGGAGGCTTCACACTCAGCACCGCTGCCTTTCCCGCCTTAGTGATGCCCGGCGCGCTCAGTTTCCAGACTGCACTGAGATGGCATGCGGATTTTCAGGGTGAAGCGGCCGCCGGGTTCTCCGTCTGTCTTCAAGGCTCGTTACGTTACAGCCTGGCTCTCCGCTGCCTGCTCCTTCTCCTTACACTGAGCAGACAGACTCGCTTACAGAGCGTCGTGAGCCTGCGTCTCGTCCTGCCTCGCCTGTTTGCCCCGCTCGCACTGCTCGCTGTATCCCAGGTCCGCGTCCTCCTCCTGTGCCTGGTACTCACACCATGGTACTTCGTCATTCCTCTGTTCCCCAGCACGTCCCTCTCCCGTCGCCGCCTGCGTCCTCTCTTCCTGACGTTCCGGACCCTGAGTCTGACCGTGTTCGGGCCGCCAGCCCTACTGTCACCCGTCTCCTCGCTACTGTTGTCACTGACCCTTCTTTTGAGTCCGCTGCTGCATCTGCCTTGGTCGCTGAGCTTGTTGACTTTGCTGATGCTTGTCGTCTTGACTACGTTGCTCGTCTTGTTGCTGAGTCTGAGTCTGTCTGTCCTCCGTCCGTCGGGGGTGAGTGTGCTCTTGGCACGGACGTCCTTGAGGACAGACAGGAGGACTTTGAGTGTCTTGCAGCCGCTGCACCTCATCTCGTGGCCATGCTGCTTGCTCCTGAGGGAGACCCGGATGCACTGGACATCCCGACCCCGCGCTCTTACGCAGAGGCGATTTCGGGTCAGTACTCCTCTCAGTGGCAGACAGCCATGGACGCAGAGATGGCATCCTGGAAGTCTACAGGCACCTACGTCAACGAGGTTCCCCCTCCTGGGGCGAACATCGTCGATGGCATGTGGATTTTCAGGGTGAAGCGGCTGCCGGGTTCTCCGCCTTTCTTCAAGGCTCGTTACGTTGCACGAGGCTTCAGTCAACGACAGGGAGTTGACTTCTTCCAGACCTTCTCCCCTACCCTGAAGATGACCACTCTTCGGGTGCTGCTGCACATTGCCACTAAGTGTGACTACGAGCTTCACTCTCATGTCTTCAGCACAGCGTGTTAAAATAGTAACTAGAAGAAGGAGCCATAGCTAGGGTTTACCTAGCTAGGCAAGAGAGAATCAGACAAAGGAGGGTCTGACTAGAAAGAAGGGAGGTACAAATAGCAAGCCCTAAAAGGGTTTACTCACTATTGAGTACCCCACTACAGACTAGACAAGCATTATATTCTGACACACCCCCATAGTTAACGTGGGGTACAATCAGCATAGCAAGCAGTAAGGCACAGAGCAGGTGCACAAGGGCCAGCAAAGCTAGAGGCATTCACAAAGGGCAAGTGAGGAGGAGGAGGCGAGACTGTAAGAGGAGAGGAGATAGGAGGCGACGGCTGAAGCTGCAGACACACGGGCAACAGGAGTCACACTGGCAAATTGGCTACCGGAACAGCGCCCCGGACTACAGGAGTAACTGGCTCCGCGGCTAAGACGAGCGGCAGGAGCAACGGACCCACAAGCGACTAACGCAGCTGGCTACGACTGGGCTACCAGGACAGCGCCCCGGACTACAGGTGCTGCTGACGACAAGACGGCAGCCTCCGCTCAACCTCCCCCGACCGTCCCACGCCCCTCTCACACACCCCCTGCTGAAACCCTAGCTCCACTCCCACGGCACCCCCCTAGCACCACTCCTTCGCCTCCCATACACCCACCCCCCTCAGCGACAGCTGCAGCAGTGGGAGACGGAGGAGGAGGAGGAGTAAGGGACGGCGCACACACCCTGCACCCCTAGAACCGCCACCCCCACACTCGCCACCCCCAAACCCTAAAACGGGTGGCACGGGGCAGGAGCGCTGGGGACGGCCGGGGGGACGGCGCGCGGCCCCCAGGGCGCCGCGACAGGCAGCGAGGGGTCGCGCGCGGCTCCTCAGGGCGGCGCGACGGGGTTGCGGGGCGACGTGACCGTCGACGGGGCAGCGGGGGGTCGCGCGCGGCTCCCCAGGGCAGCGCGACGGGGATGCGGGGGGACGCGACCCGAGAAGAAGGAAGCCGTCACGCGCCTCGGGGCGCACGGCGGGCAGAAAACCGCCATGCGCCCCGAGCGCGTGGCAGGAAGAAAAAGAAGCGTCGCGCGCCACGGGGCGCGCGACAGACAGGAAAGCAGCGGAAGCACGTGGGGCCCACAGGCCAAGGGCGTAACAACTCTGATTCCATGTTAAAATAATAGCTAGAACAAGGAGCCATAGCTAGGGTTTACCTAGCTAGGCAAGAGAGAATTAGACAAAGGAGGGTCTGACTAGAAAGAAGGGAGGTACAAATAGCAAGCCCTAAAAGGGTTTACTCACTATTGAGTACCCCACTACAGACTAGACAAGCATTATATTCTGACACTGCGTTCTTACAGGGCAGTCTGCACGAGGAGATCTAGCTGCGCCGCCCACCTGGCTTCACTGGGTCGTTTCCTCCTGGTACCCAGTGGAGCCTCAGGCGGCCAGTCTACGGTCTCCGCCAAGCGCCTCGTGAGTGGCACGACACACTGAGGACGACACTGGCGGCTCTTGGGTTTGCTCCTTCCACTGCTGACCCGTCGCTGTCTCCTCACAACGACACCTCGCTGCCGCCGTTCTACATCCTCGTGTGCGTCGACGACTTGGTCTTTGCCACTGCTGACACTGAGGCACTCGCTCTTGTGAAGTCGGAGCTGCAGAAGCGACACACGTGCACGGACCTGGGTGAGCTGCGCAGCTACCTTGGCTTGCAGATCAACCCGGATAGAGCACGCCGCACCATCACACTGACTCAGTCACACATAGTGCAGCAGGTCCTTCAGCGCTTCGGCTTCACTTGGTCCTCGCCACAGTCCACTCCTATGGCTACCGGTCACTCGCTCTTAGCTCTGCCTTCGGATGAGTCCGTAGAGCCGAGTGGCCTGTATCCAGAGCTTGTGGGCTGCCTCATGTACCCGATGACCTGCACTCGACCTGACCTTGCGTACCCTCTTAGCATCCTGGCTCGCTACGTTGCGCCTGGGAGACACCGGCGAGAGCACTGGGAGGCTGCTAAGAGGGTGTTACGCTACTTGTGCAGTACATCGGGCATGGGGCTCGTGCTTGGAGGACGGGGTGACGTTGTCCTCACTGGACACTCCGACGCTTCTTGGGTGGACGACTTGGCTACGCAGCGGTCGTCGCAGGGGTACACGTTCAGCCTTGGCTTCGGCTCTGTTTCTTGGCGGTCTACACGCTCGTCTTCTGTTCTCAACTCCAGTTGTGAGGCTGAGATCTACGCCACAGCCATGGCTGCTCAGGAGTTACGCTGGCTCACCTACCTGCTAACCGATTTGGGAGAGAGGTCTCGTTCTCCTCCACATCTGTACGTAGACAACAAGGCTGCTATTACCTTGTGTCAGGAGCACAGACTGGAGCACAGAATGAAGCACATCGCTCTGCGTTACTTTCTTGCTCGAGAGCTGCAGCAGCGTGGTCAGCGTTGTGTTTCTTACGTGGCCACCAGGGCCAACACTGCTGATGTGTTCACCAAGGCACTTCCGCCTTGTGACCATCAGCGCTTTTGCATAGCTTTAGGCTTGGTGCCAGTGTTTTCTCACTTACTTACCTCTTGACTTTGTTTGTACTGTGATCTATATTATATACCTGCATGCCTACTCCTGCTAGGTAGTGATCACTGTACTGTTGTTGTTGCATATATACCTCTGCATGTGAACTGGCCTTGTGGCCCTTTACTTGTGCTCAGAGTGTGTGGTGACGTTATGATCCACCCTGAGCTTGCTTTGCCTTTCTTGACTGGTCTTGTGACCCCTTGTTCTCCCCCACCTTGCCTATGGGGGTGTGTCAAACTATATCTGTTCTATTATAATGTGTAGGCTGTAGTGGGGTAGCCAATATGGGGTACAACCCCTTTAGGGTTTATATTTGCACCCAACTCTCTGATAGTTCATCCATTCTTGCTTCTAGTGTTGACACGAGCGAGTACAAGTCATCAGGTACATGAGGCAGCCCACCAGCTCTGCGTAGGGACCACTAGGCTCAAACGGCTCGTCAGGAAAGGGTCCACTGAATCTGTGGTCAACAGCAAGAGGTGTACGCTTTACTGTGGAGTGCTGAAGCTCGAACCGCTGAAGGACCTGCTGCACCATGTGTGACTGTGAGAGTGTAATGGTGCGAGCAGCTCTGTCCCTGGTGATCTACAGGCCAAGGTAGTGGCGCAGCTCACCAAGGTCAGTGCACGTGTGTCTCTTCTGCAGTTCGGACTTCACGTCTGCCAAAGCAACTCTCTCAGCAGTCGCAAAAACCAGGTAATCAACGTAGACCAACACAAAGAACGGTATGGAGTCACGACGGACGAATAGCGACGGGTCGGCAGAAGACAGCTGGAAACCAAGGTCAAACAAGGTAGAACGAAGGGTGTCGTGCCACTCACGAGGAGCCTGACGGAGACCGTAGACCGGTCGCATCAACCTCCACTGGGTCCCAGGAGGGAAAGTGCCAGTGAAGGCAGAAGGACGACGTAACCAGACCTCATCGTGTAGGCTAACGTGAAGGAAGGCAGTGGAGAAGTCGAGAGAGTGTAACTCGTAGTCTCTCTGTGCTGCTACGTGCAGTAACACCCAAAAAGTAGTCATCTTTGGGGTTCTGCGAAGGTCTGAAAGAAGTCAACTCCCTCTCGCTGACTGAAACCTCTAGCCACGTAGCGTGCCTTGAAGACCGGAGGAGATCCCGGTGGCCGCTTCACCCTGAAGATCCACATGCCATCGACTACGTTCGCCCCAAGGGGGGGAACCTCGTCGATGTAGGTGCCTGTGGATCTGTAGGAGGCCATCTCTGCGTCCATGGCAGCTCTCCACTGAGAGGCCCAAGGCCCTGACACTGCCTCAGCGTAAGTGCGAGGAGTCGGTATGT